AGCCGAAGACCTCCAGGACCAGCCACCACCATGCTGAGACCACTCTCCGCACACATGAAGGTACTGGCAGAGGGACAAAGCCACGCGGGTTCCGGGGCCGAGACCTCCAAGCCTACTTGAATTGGAGTCGAGTCGAGCCCCTCTTCTAACCAAATCAAATTTTATCTTACTCTTTTCTGTCTTTTCCCCTACATTTCAAATGTCTGAGATTTCTTATCTTTTTCTTCCCTACATTTCAAATACCTGAGTTATCAAAATTTCTGAGTCTACAATGTTACTTCAGGGATTAATCCAAATATCTCTAACCTCCTATTATTGTTTTCACTCTACGTTCTTTCCACTCATGGTTCCTGCTTCTTAGACCCCATATCAAACTTCAAATGGAGAGGAATTCATTTTGGTTAGGGCCATAGGGTGACAGTCAGGGCTAGACCTCTCTCTTACACATCACTGACTGCATTCTCCCCAGAATCTGCCTACATTCACCAATCTCTAAGGTCCAAGATGCTTTTTATATTTTTTTAATTTTTAATTTTTTGCTTTTTGGGTCACACCAGGCAATGCACAGGGGTTACTCCTGGCTCATGTACTCAGGACTTGCTCTTGGCAGTGCTCGGGGGACCATATGGGATGCTGGGAATTGAACCCACGTCGGCTATATGCAAGGCAAACACCCTACCCGCTGTGCTATTGCTCCAGACACTCAAAGATGCTTTTTAAAAGCATTCTATGAACACTTCTGAGCTAACTCCAATTTCTTGTGGGTCCTATGTAAAGGTTATTAAAGGTAAAAGGTAAAGGCCCTCCCGTTGATCATCGATTTGCTCGAGCGGGCCCAGTAACGTCTCCATTGGAGACTTTGTTGTTACTGTGTCTGGCATATTGAATACTCTCGGTAGCTTGCCGGGCTCTCCGAGAGGGGCGGAGGAATCGAACTCGGGTCGGCCATGTTGGCTGCGTGCAAGGCAGACGCCCTACCTGCTGTGCTATCGCTCCAGGTTATTATTATTATTATTATTGTTATTATTAAAAGGAAGTCTCGTAGCAATTAGATGCTCAAAGCTAAATTGTCTTATGTTACTTTTTCTGTCAGAATAAGTGCATTTGTATGAGAAAAATGAATTAAATGTGTATTTGTTAGAGCTTGCAAGAAAATTGGAAAAAGTGTTCAGTTTACTTAGGGAAAGTGAGTAATTGAGCATATATTTTCTTCTTACAGCTCGGTTACTGTAGGATTGAACTATATTCTGAGAGACTTATCTTCAGAAGACTTATATTCCAGGGCCAGAGTGATAGTACAGCGGATAGAGCATTTACCTTGCATACAGCCGACCCCCAGCATCCCATGTGGTCCCCCAGCACTGCCAGGAGTAATTCCTGAGTGCAGAGCCAAAAGTAACCCCTGAGCATTGCTGGGTTTGCCCAAAACAAACAAAAAGAAAAAGTCAAAAAGAAAAGAAAAAAAATCATTCTAAAAGATCTATCTTCAGAATACTTATATTTTAAAAGACTTATTTCCAGACATCCTTCTTCCAAGAATGGCTTTTTCCGCTTCCCTGGCCGAACGCCAATCAGAAGCCAGCTGCCCTCTCTGTCTAGATTACCTGAGAGACCCAGTGACTCTAGCCTGTGGCCACAACTTCTGTGTCTCCTGCATTCAACAGCGCTGGGTTGACCTACAGGACATCTTCCCCTGTCCTGTCTGCCTCCACCACTGCCCTGACAGGAACTTGAAGAGAAACAACCAATTGTGTCACATCACTGACATCGTTAATCAGCTCCCCATCAGAGGGAATAAAAGGAAACGGCAGGAACAGAAACTATGTGAGAAGCACCAGGAGGTCTTGGACATGTTCTGTGAGGAGGATTCTGAGCTCTTGTGTCCCCAGTGCAGGACCACCCATGACCACCAGGATCACTACCTCCTCCCTGCTGAGAGAGCTGCAGCAAGTCAAAGAAAGAAGCTCAGAAGCTACATGGAGCTTCTGAAGAGGAAGATTGAAACCACTGAAATGGATTGTAAGAAACAAATTTCAAAATTTCTTGAAGAGAGTCTTGAAGAGAGTCAGAAGACAGAATTAGATTCTGAATTTAAAGAATTCATTTTTTTCTTGAGAAGGGAACATTTTGCAAGTGATGCCAGATTAATTAAGGAAGAGAACAAAGAGAAGGATAAATTCACCGAAAACAAAAGCTATATTTCAAGTCACATGGACACACATAAAAATCTTCTAAGTGACGCAAGAAAAAAGTATTTGCTGCCCAACCTAGAGTTGCTATCCAGCATCAAAAGTATTCAAAGTCGGCACAAAGACTTAACCCTCCCAGCAGTCTTTTTGTATAAACTCAAGACAGAGAGTTTAGCCCTCCCTCCACATTATTTTGGTCTGCACACAATGATCAGCAAGTTCCAGGTAGATTTGACACTTGATCCTGAAACTGCACATCCAAGTCTGATTATCTCCAAAGACAGGAAAAGTATATCTACAACAAGTCTACCGCAATTTCTTGACAACTCCCAGACATTTACTCCTTACCCAGCTGTGCTCAGCTGTGAGGGCTTTGATGGGGGCAGGCATTTTTGGCAAGTAGAAGTCACAGGGGTTGGTGAATGGTCCATAGGTGTTTGTAAAAAATCATTCTGCGGAAATTCTGGGATACTACCAACCCCTGAAAATGGCTATTGGGCATTTTTACAGACTGCAAAGAACACAGAACAGGACATGGACATTAAACAAGCAGACCCAGGTATGCAATTTGGTGTATTTCTAGACTATGAACTGGGAGAACTTTCCATTTATCGTTTGAATAACAGATTATATTTGTGTAAAATCACTGATAAATTCACAGGGAAACTGATGCCATATTTTGCTATTGGACCCTCTTCAAAATCAATTTCAATATGTTTGACCACAAAGGAATGGTGAACTACTATGAAAATTATTTGTGTTTGAGTGTGTTTGAGTGATTATTTTTAGAAAGACTGTTTATAAGGTTTATAAATAAAGTTTAGAAGATTTATAAGTTCCTGGTTCATATTTGTTGTCTGCCTACTGAAATTCTATAGGGCTCACATTTTTTTCTTCCCCTTGAGCCAAACCTTCCTGGACTACTTAGCAGGATTTTTGGAGAGGAGAAAAGCTTCACGTCACTCTTCTCCCATTTTCCATCGATTTGCTCCAGCGGGCCCAGTAATGTCTCAATTTTGACACTTGTTACTGTGTTTGCCATACTGGATACATCACAGGTAGCTTGCCAGGCTTTGCCTTGAGCACAAGATACTCTTGGTAGCTTCCCAGGCTCTCCGACAGGGGTGGAGGAATTGAACTTGGGTCGGCCAGGTCGGCCTCATGCAAGGCAAACACCCTACCTGCTTAGGGATAGAAAATCTTGAGTTGTGCTACCCCCTTCTCAAAGGCTGGAGCGATAGCACAGCGGTAGGGCATTTTCCTTGTGTGCAGCTGGCCTGGCTGAGCCAAGTTTGATTCCTCTGCCCCTCCCCGAGAACCTGGCAGGCTACCAATAATATCTCACTGGCACCGCAAAGCCTGGCAAGCTACCCGTGACGTATTCAATATGACAAACAAAATAACAGCAAAGTCTCAAGATTGAGACGTTACTGAGCCTGCTCGAGAAAATCGATGAACAATGGTAGGACAGTGACAGTGACCCTCCTCTCATATAAACCAGTAACCACCAACATCTTAGCTACTTGCTTTTCGATGAACTCATTTACTTGGGGATACCTATTCTGATCATTCCTGCACTCACAAAGGAACAAGATAGGGAACTAGAGAAACCTGCGGACACAGATAGGAATGACTTCCTACTCAAGGCCCTGTATCAGATTTCTCTCCAGGATCCTCCACGGCCCAGTAGCCCCCATCTCCACCCACCCCAACCTGTGCCAGGCTCCAGTTTGCTTTCTCTCTTTCCCAATGGTTGGGGACCCAGACAACCTGGATGTGCTCATTTCATCTCCTGCCCTAGTAGGCCTGACCTAAGATTCTGTAAGCTACGCATCCGGGACTTGCATGAACTGGTAAGCGCCCCTCACCCCCACAAGCCAGAGTCAGTCCCTATTCTGCTCTCCAGTTGTTCTAGACAAGCCCCCAAACCAGAGTCCCCTATCTGCAGCTCCTCTAGTTTGCAGGAGGGCAAGAAATGTGACAGGGAAGAGGCCAGTTTCATAGGAGCAAAAAGCAGGAAAAGCCCCCTCCCCCACTTACTTATGGGGTGTTTAAGGAGTAGCAGGTGTTGATAATCATTTAACAGCCCCAGAAGAAAGATCTGTCCCCAGAATCGTAAGTCCAGTCCTCAAGATGAAGGGCCAGCCCTGGGTCTTACTGCCATGAGGAGGAAAACATGAAATGGGGCAAAATAAAGAGAGGTTCTCTAGCATGGCATTAGTCCTTGTACTACACACTAACCCCGGGTTCTTTCTGTGTGATCTGTTGTGTGTTTTTTTAAAAGACTTTGTATTAATTTTCAAAAGACTGCTGCATCTGACCTTCAGTTTTCCTTTTGGTGGTTAACAGTTGTAAAGGAATCACTTTATAATTTTGCTTCAGTTAAGCAACTGTAACATATTAACACTAATGCCTTCCTAATAATTTTGAACACAAAAATGGAGGCTATCACTTCCACCCAAAATCTTTGATATCCAAGCAACCACACCATACACAGATGAATAAAGATTTTTGTCCTTCAATGGAGGGAGGGAAATGTACCTGACACAGAAGCAGGCTGGGGGTGGGAGGAAAATCAGAGAGATTGGTGGAAGGTAGTGAGCACTGGTGAAGGCATTGTTGGAACAATATATGCCTGAAACTCAATCTCAAATGACTGTCATTTTGTAAGTTTTGGTAATTCAATTTTAAAAAAATAAAAGAAAAAATATTTTTTTACTTTCTTTCACTGCACCCCATTCCTCCAAAAAAGATAGGTGACTTCATCATCATTGATGCTTCAAAATAATTTGGGCATAGATTCCCCCTGACTGGCTTGACGAAAGCTGGCACCACGCAGAAAGGCTGAACTCTGGAGGACCAGCACTGGGACCTTGAAGGCATATGTGTGTCCAGGCAGTTGGCACGTTCAACTGTGCTGATTGTGCTTCTTTGGCCAACTTCTACCAATTCTGGTGTAGGCCCATCTGATTTCTATAACACAAGTACTCATGACAGTGATTCTTGCTTAAGAATAAAGGCCTCCTTTGAAGTCTCTTTAAGTGTTTCTCTCATGGTCTTCTACATACCTGCTTGTACTCCACACCAATTTTGGAGGTCTCCAGGCATTGTGCTCTTATGTCAGACTTTATCATCATCTTCCGGCCAACCATGACTAAAGATGAGTTCTCAGGATATTAAAAGCCCAAGCGTTTGAGTTAGTGCCTATTAAAATCTTGAAGTAGAGACTTGAGAGATATGGGCACATATGGGATGCTGGGAATCGAACTTGGGTCGGCCCCGTGCAAGGCAAATGCCCTACCCACTGTCCTATCGCTCCAGGTTTTATAAGAAAAGCTTTTTAACAGGTTATCAAACCACTGAAAGATATTTTCTCTTGCTTCTTTTGACCTCTCTTTCCCCAGGTATGTCCTGTAAAAAAGCAAATAATAACAGAACCAGAACATGGTGGGGATTTCCTTTAACGCCCCACCAATCCACAGTGATTAGGAAAAGATCAAGAAAATTTTGAGGTCAAGACAGAGACATTCACAGTTCTGTGGATGATATAGGAGAAAACTTTGACATGCCAACCATCATGCATCCCGTAGCTTGAACAAAGCCAGAAAGTTTTATTTATTTGTTTGCCTGTTAGAAGAAAAATAATTCCAAGCCTTCCAGGGAGCCTAAAGATTCTGAGAATGTGCAACATTTGTTCTGATTTTAGCTGTACCTGGTGTTACTCAACGCTCTGTGCTCAGGGGTCACTCGTAGCAGTGCTTGGGGGACCATATGCAATGGAATTGAATCTCAGTTGAGAAGTAGAAACTTAAAAATTCAGTTGCACTTTCAGAAAGGAAGATTGAACTTGAAACACAGCATGGTACTACTATTTCTTTCTCAACCAGTATGGGATTAAGAAACATGAGAAGGTGGAGCTGCAGTGATAGCATGGCAGGAAGGGCGTTTGCCTTGCACGCGGCTGACCCGGGTTCAATTTCCAGAATCCTATATGGTCCCCTGAGCACAGCCAGGGGTAATTCCTGAGGGCTGAGAGAGAGGAGTAACCCCTGTGCATCACCAGGTGTGACCCAAAAAGCAAAAAAAAAAAAAACATGAGAAGGATAAAGGTAGGAAATTCACTGTGGAGATTGGATTTTCAGGATTAGTGGCCTACCCCTTCCACCTGGCTAGTACTACTTAATCCCTTATTTCAGAGTATCCTATCAGGATTAATGCAGCTCCCTTCGTTCTGACTGGTCTTTTCTCTAAAGCCCCACCGATCCAACAGAATATAAAAACGCAGGTCAATCACAGGACAGCGCCAGGCCGACTTCCACAGTCCTTCAGGGAGAGTCAGCTCAACACTACCAAGGACTCAGCCAGACCCGGGTCACTGATCCAGGAAATAACCAATAAGGACTGTGGGTTTATGGGAGGCAGAGGGAGAGCATAATTTCCATTCCTAGTGTCTGTTCTATGAGAACACTATTTTTATTGGAGGAAATACTTCATAGACGATCTGATATCTGTTTGCTTATATGAAGTACTATACTTTAGCACCTATCTTCCTGGATTACGTTGAGTCATTTCCCCATCTCCAGGACTTTGGTCACAGCTGGGGATTATCACTAAATATTCAGGGTTCTATTCCATGAAGCCTTACAGAGTTGGCATCTTTGAGTGATTATGAAGAAGGAGAATCTGGTTGCCTTGAGGACGGTGAGCAGGGCCCTGGAAAGCTCATTCTCCTACTTCCTTGGGAGGGTCTTCTCTTCCTCAGAACATATCAGCTGTTTTAAAGCTGGAGATATTGCTGGCCAAGAGAGTTGGTGAGCTCGACTTCTCTTCATATCCACATTTATTCATGACGGGCTGCTCCTTGTGACTTGAGTCACTGGACAACAGTGGATCAGGCAGTATGATAAGTCATCAGAGAAGGATCCTCACTGAGAAAGACATTGAGTATACGATAGAGGTCTGAAGGTGTAACTTATTTTGACAGGAAACCACCTGAGGAGTCCCACATTCAGACAGCCCACGCTATCCCAGTCCTGCCCTTCCCACACCTGAGGATGGTGGAGGTGTCAGCAATCCTGGCCAAAATGCAGTCAAAATGCTTCTGTCCAGTCTGCCTGGACTACCTCAATGACCCCGTCACCACCGACTGTGGCCACAACTTCTGCGACTCCTGCATCCGCATGTCATGGAAGGACCTGCAGGACACATTCCCTTGTCCTGTGTGCCAGCTGGCCCGCCAGGAGATGCGTATCAGTGCCAACGCCCAGCTGGGCAGGCTGGTGGACCTGGCCAAGCGCCTGCACAGCTCCGGGAGCAGCAAGATGGCACGGGGAGAGGAGCACAGGCATGAAGACCACAGGCAGGGGATGAGCCTCTTCTGCGAGGACGACCAGGCGCTGCTGTGTCCCCTGTGTGCCCGGTGTCTTGATCTTCAGTGTTCTGTGGAGGAGGCCACATCCTATCACAGACAAAGGCTCAAGTACATCAAGTCACTGGAAAAGCGGTTGGCAAAGGTGCAGAAGCTAGAAGTCACCCATGATAGAAAGATCCTTCAACTGACCGAGGAGGCCAGAATGCTTGAGTCAGCTGGCCTCGGAGTTTGAGCAACTCACCCAGTTTGTGGAGAGTGAGCAAGAGGCAGCTCTCCGAAGGCTGTCAGAAGAGGAGAAACGCCTGCAGCAGCAGCTCAGGGCCAACCTGGAGGCCTACTCGGACCACATCTGGGCGCTGAAAGACCTCAGACGGGAGGTGGCGGAGCGGAGTGTGATGTCCGAGGAGGTGGTGCTGAGGGGCGTGAGGGGCCTGCAGCAGCGCTGGGCGGGCCTGCAGGCCCCGGCAGTGCAGCCCCTGTGCTTCAGGCCGGTGGCCTACAGCCTCCCTCCTCTGTGCTCAGCGCTCAAAAGCATCATCCGGAGATTCCGAGAGAGCATCAGCCTGGACCCCGACACGTCCCACCCCAGCCTGCGCGTGTCTAAAGATAAAAAGTCTGTGACCTGGGTGAGGAAAAATCCCAACCTTGCTGGGGATCCTGGGCCACCGGAAGATGCCGCCGAGCTGGTGGTCCTGGGCCGGGAGGGCTTCGCCTCTGGACGCCACTACTGGGAGATGCAGGTGGGCGCCAAGCCCGAGTGGGCCGTGGGCGTGTGCAGTGTCGCCCCTTCGGTCCAGGCCTCGCGTCCCCTGGCGGCTCCCAAGAGATGCTGGACGCTGCAGCCGCAGGACCGCGTCTACCTGGCCGTGGGCGCGTGGGCTGTGCCTCTGGCTCTCAGGGACCAGCCCCCGGCCATCGGCGTTTACCTGGACTGGGAGCTGGGCCAGCTTTCCTTCTACAACGCCGCCTCCGACAGGTCTCACCTGCACTCGTTCACCGAGCCCTTTGCTCAAGAGTTCAAGCCCTATTTCCGCGTGGGGCGTGACTGCACCCCTCTCTCCGTGGGCGTGGGGAGGACGTAGGAGCTTGATCCCTGTTTCTGTTTTCCTCCTGTAATTACTTTATAGAGTAGGTTGTGGATTTTGCAATGATCACTGTGTCTTATTTAATTCAGTTGTCATCGAATCTGGCATGATTTTTTTGAAAAGTATTCATTTCACTTTCAGGGAAGAATAGCATTGTTTTTTTCTCTGTATATTGCCTCTTGTTCCTTTTTTTTTTTTTTTTTGGTGGGATGGTGGTATGGGTGGGCTGTAGATCCCAGCCCTGAGTGTTCAGATGTACTACCTGGAGATGGTCTTAAGACTTCTTTTGTTATGTCCCATGCAGGATTATATAAATTTATTTTTCTGTAGCTCAACCATGTGTGCTCACCTCTCACCCTCACAAAAACCGGTGACTTTTCAGGAAATTCCTCACTGTGGAAATAAGTTGTCCTGGTTACACTGGGCTTGAAGCACATGCCCTTCCCTGCTGCCTGGGATGGCAGACAGGCTTCTACTTTGTATACCACATTTCCAATAAAGGCGTTTTTTATTCAGTTGCTTGTGTTTTCTGTTGTTTCTTTCTTAGACTTGATCACTTGACTTCCGATTAATGGTCGATTTGCTCCAGCGGGTGCCAGTAACGTCTCCATTTCTCCCTGTCACGTGCTAGCGTAGCCCAATGGTGTCTGTTCGTTCTAGGAACACAAAGAGCCTCAAACCAATCATTTAGGGTCTTAATGAAGAAGTCCCGTAGAATCCAGTCAGTAAACCGGCTCTAGTCCAGCGGTCATCTCCAAATCTCATTACGTGCGTGCCCAGACCTTCTGATTTTTGACGCCTTGGCAAATGAGACAGTGTCCTTTATTCTTGATCATCAAAGGAGGTCGGAACTCCAGATTCTTTCTCTCATTTGAGTGAAACATGATATTCCAAGCATAACTCTTTCAATGCCTCCTTTCTTATACTCGATTTGCTTGAGCGGGCCCAGTAACGTCTCCATTGGAGACTTTGTTGTTACTGTGTCTGGCATATCGAATACTCTCAGTAGCTTGCCGGGCTCTCCGAGAGGGGCAGAGGAATCGAACTCGGGTCGGCCATGTTGGCCGCTTGTAAGGCGAACGCCCTACCCGCTGTGCTATCGCTCCAGCCCTTCTAGTCTATAAAATTTCCTGTCTGAGTTCCAATAGTTTTCATATATGTATTTGAAATCCTTTAAAGTCTCCTTTTTTTGGATGACCTCTTTCAAAGTGTTTCAGGTGGGAACAAGAAGAGTGATTAGTGGCCCATATTTTCCCATGAATTAGGATAGAGCCATTGAGCCCTTTAGAGAAACTATGCATTTGCAGGAGGCGGGGGCGGAGGCAATGATAGGTGGGGATGATCTCTCCACACTGAGGAAAGGGCAGTTTGGTTTCCTGTCTCCTTCCAAAGCAAATGTCAGGGAGGTTCACTTTTTATTTCATTTATTTATTTATTTTTCCTTTTGGGGGTCACACACGGCGATGCTCAGGGGTTGCTCCTGGCTATACACTCAGGAATTACTCCTGGCATTGCTCAGGGGACCATATTGGATGCTGGGATTTGAACCCTGGTCGGCCGCATGCAAGGCAAACTCCCTACCTACTAGGCTATCACTCCAGCCCCAAGATTCACTTTTTAAGGGAAATGTGATTCCTAGGTTCCATTTCACACAAGACTAAAGAAAGTTTATCCAGCTCAATGATCTTTGTTAAACTTGAGTTTCCTGGACACAAAGAGGAATGTCTGTTGGCATTGCCATGAGTATGGCCTTTGAAGCAGACCTCAGCTGCATTTCCCCAGGGGGCAGGGGCTGACTCTGTGATTAACTTCTGATCAAGCAGTTTTACTTCCCCTGTCAGTAAGAGAGGTATTTCCAGCTTTAGTTTTTGCCTCTTGTTTTCTGGATCCCAAACACATTTTGTGCTTTTCAGCATTCACACAGTCACCAGCTCTAGTTGTGGGCACCGAGCTCAGCCTGTGGTACTAGGTGTCCATCATCAGAGCTTGCCCCGAGGTGCTGTGCCTTTACGGTCTTGTCAGTGGGAACCCTGACTCTAGACTGGATTGAGACGTGTCTCTTCAGGAGGGTCTCTTTCTTCAAAAATTATATTTCCTGTTGTGATTGAGTGATGAACACAGATGTTAAAGGAACTTCCAGAACGGTTCGTGTTATCCTTTGCAAGATGTAGGGAACACATGTTAAAAGAATAGTATTCTCCGGAGTCTCAGAGTCATAACTAAATCTCCAAGTAGATGTAAGCCAACCCACTAAAATTCATGGATACACCAAATTCCCAGCGAAAATCCCTGGGGGTGTCTTTGTGGGGAGATGCTAAGTCCTCACCCTCCCAAAGTCTTTGTAGCTGTATCCTAAAGCTGCCAAAGGCCCAACTCCACTGCTTCATGACAAATCTCTGCAGAGACACCAAACAGACACAAATTCAAGTACACTGGTTTTCAGGCTGAAAACTCTGGGTCTTTTCAGAGTGGCGGTGGGCAACCTCCCATTCTCCCCCTTCCTGACCCTGAACTTTAGGAAGCCCTGGAAGTCATTAATTCCCACATGCCAGAGTCTCTGCCATGTAAACTCATTCATTAGCTCAGGTCTACAATTTCTGGACTTCCTTGGGTGGGGGGGGCGGGGGTGTAGGAGGGCGTGTGTTGTCTGGTAACACCTCCAAATCGTACAATACTGACATTCCAGTAGAAGCACACCAAATTATATGGGAAAGTGACATAGAAGCCAACTAAACTCAATGAACAAAAACAAATACAAGGCTCAACTAGCAACAAAAGGACTTAATGACCCCATGGCGAGATATAAGACCCTTCACAAATTTTCTTTTAGTGATTATTTTTTATAATTCCTTTAGTCATTTAGATTAATGGATATTCCATTTGTCTATTACTCATTGAAACAGGCAATAAAAATAAATTATTTAGGGCCTACACTAATGAGGCAATTTAGGGAGTGGTTAGGAAAATGGGGGAAATGGGGACAATGGTGGAGGGAAGGTCACACTGGTGGTGGGTTTGGTGTAGGAACGTGGAATGCCCATAACAAATATATTATGAACATCTTGGTAGCACTGTAGCACTGTCCTACCATTATTCATCAATTTGCTCGAGTGGGCACCAGTCATGTCTCCACTGTGAGACTTGTTACTGTTTTTGGCATATCGAATATGTCACGGGGAGCTTGCCAGGCTTTGCCGTGCGGGCAGATAGTCTCGGTAGCTTGCTGGGCTCTCTGAGAGGGGAGGAGCAATTGATCCCGGGTCACTGGCATGCAAGACAAACCCCCTACTCACTGTGCTATCGCCCCAGCCCAACACCTTGGTAAACCATAGGACTTAAGTGAAGTTTCTTTAAAAAAAGAACTGCACTTCTTAAATCAAGGTATGGACAGAGCTGTCAGATGCCTCACAACACTTCAGACATTCTGTACAGTGAGTCAGCTCTCTCTCCTCTATACCATCCTGTTCTCAAAATGCCTAGAGAAACATCTCAAGTTTTCTACCCACTGGTGTTTGTGTGCCTATATTTTTGCCCAATTCTCAGGTAACTTGTTATTTCTTTCTGCTTGGACTAATGAGGGCTGGAGCGATAGCACAGTGGTAGGGCATTTGCCTTGCGCGCAACCAGCCCGGTCGATCACCCTCACCATCACGATCATCCTGTTGCTCATGGATTGCCTCGAGCAGGCACCAGTAACGTCTCCTTCGGTCCTAGCCCTGAGATTTTAAAAAGTGCCATGTTCAAGGCTCTTTCAGGGATAGGAGAATGAGACCCATCATTGTTACTGGTATTTGGCATATTGGGTACACCACGGGGTATTTGCCAGACTCTGCCGTGTGGGCAGGTTACATTCAGTAGCTTGCCAGGTTGTCCAAAGCAAAAATGAAATAATAAGATGTCCCACATTCGTGGCCATGCGCTTCAGGGAGCTGGCTTTTATAGTCTCTGGGTCTTCGCCATTGATGGGATTACACAGCACCAGGGGGCAGTTGGTGGGTGTGACCGCTGCCTACTGGAAGATGGAGGATCTGGGTGGAGGATACTTAGCCCCGATCCAAGCAGGCTTGGAGATCTCAGCCCCGGGACCCTCTTACCTGTGTTCCTCGACCGGTTCCTTCATGTGTGTGGAGAGTGGGCTCAGCATGGTTGTGGCTGGTTCTGGAGGTCTTCGGCTGCCAGATCTCTGCTCGGGGCGGGGAGGGGAACTCAAACTGTCCCCCTCCAAGGGGTGCCAGCAAGGACAGCCAGGCAAGGGGGCAGAAGACTCTGCGTTGCTCTCTTCACAGCCAGCCCAGCTGAGCCAGGTTCGATTCCTCTGCCCCTCTAGGAGAGCCAGGCAAGCTACCGAGAGTATCTCGCCTGCATAGCAAAGCCTGGCAAGCTACCCATGATGTCTTCAGTATGCTAAACACAGTAACAAGAAATCTCAAAATGGAGATGTTATTTGGCCTGCTGGAGCAAATCGATGATCAATGAGAGGGCAGTGTTTTGGACTAATATGTTTACAGATTCTTGTTCCCAGTCAGGTGAAATCTCCAGAGAAACTTAAACAAATGGAACACCAAGTCCATCATTGACAAAGTACAGATGTGTGGAAACATTTCTGAGACTAATTAACATTTATCATATAAACTGTACACGAATAATATGACAAACATCAGTTATGAACTCCAATTCATGGTTTGTTATCTCAGAACCATCCTAAAACTTCTTTTGTTTTGTTTTGTTTTGGGGCCACAGCCAGCAATGCTCAGTGCATTCTTCTGGTTCTGAACTCAGGATTACTCTTAGCAATTCTCCATGGAGACCATATGGGATGCCGGCAATGGAACCTGGATTAGTTGTTTAGTTTAACTAACAGTACTGTAAATTTCAATAAAAGTGTAAAGATTAATTAACTGCACTGTATATCCCAACAAGAGAGAAGAAAAGATGATCTCACATATACACGTTGATGCAAGTAAATCTAGAAGACTACCAGATAACTAATCCCTTCA